GTAAAAATGTACTGAGTAAAAGTAAAAAGTACACTGAAAAATAATTACTCAAGTAAAGTACAGATACTTAGTTACTTTACAACTCTGATATTTATTGTAAGCATTTAATTTATTTTCAGTTTCCAGTTCTGGAGATTGGAATACTTTGCCTTTCAGAAATATATATAATTTTTCACAGTAAGAACTAATGTAAAGTAGTTTTTATTCATCTTMTAGATATTGGTCCACGTCTCATGTTTTAGGTTTTATTCGTGGAGAAAAAGCAGACGGTAACAGTTTAAGAACTGTGGCTCATGTTTCCCTACGAGGAACCAGTTTGTGTTTGATACTGGTCTTTATGTTCTGTTTTAGGTGCTGACGGCTCAGTTCTGGACACTGTGATGGAAAATCCAGGTAAGAAAATACTCTCCACCAAAGCTCTTGTTCAYATGTTGTCTTCTGATAATTTAGGTTTAAAATTTTAAGTCAAAGTATTTAAAAACATGGAATGATATAGCCAAACAGCAACCAATTTTGAGATCTTTAATTAAAAAATATTTTCTTTAGGATGCTTTGCATTAGATGATTTAACAAGGCCATTAACGCTGGGTTCACATGGTGTATTTGTTCAGATRTTTGGCCTGGTTTTGTGTTTCTGACAATATTAAGGATACTCTGATTAGAGGGATTCTTTTAAAGATAATCTGATGAGAGATGAGATGATCCAGTTAACTCAGGATGACATCAGGACCACTCTGATCACAAATCAGACATATTTAATATTAGGGCTGGATATCATGGCCAGGTCTATAAWCCAGTTCCATTTTGATACATAAGGTTTTCAATTGATTAATCATGATTTGATTAAATTCAGTTTGATTTGATCTGKTCTTAAATAATGAAAATGGTTCAAATGTGTTGCAAAATACAATATTTTTTTCTCTTCAACATAACAGGATTTAAGGGCAAACTTATAAATTAAACAGTTTAATCTTGAAAAAACTAAGTTTAAAAGGTTTTAAATTAAAAGGGTGACAGTGTTGTTGGATGCATTCATTTTTTAAAAGATTAATTTTTTTTTTTGATGAAGTGATGGGAATAGTGCTGCAAGAGAAGGGGTGGGTTAATATAGCTACAGTCATGGCTGAAAGTGTTGGTACCCCTGAATTATTTCCAGAAAATTAASTATTTCTCCCAGAAAATTATTGCACTTACACACGTTTTGTTATACACATGTTTATTTCCTTTGTGTGTATTGGAACAACACAAAAAACAGAGGAAAAAAAGGCAAATTTGACATAATTTTACACAAAACCCCAAAAATGGGCCGTGTCAGTCTTGTGTGTACCTCAGACACACACAAGATGCCATGTGGAAAATCTGTCTCCTTCCCTGTGGATCCATTTTCCAAAATTTAAATGAAATCAATCTGGGATCAATTAAATCCATTTTTGTTCCCAGCCCTATTCAACATGTTAGTGTTGGCCTGATATCCCATTATGTGTGGCGTTAAGTCCTTATTTTCTACAAACACTGCTGCTTGCTGATTCTTTAGTAACTGACAGTGACTAAACTAAACTGTAAACCACACCCTAAGTCTAAAATCATAAAACATTAAATCTCACACACGTCATTACTCACTGCTGATCTTTTCTGTTACTGATCTTCCTCCAACTTGTTTTTCTTTGTCTACCTGTGGGTCCTTCAGTGCCTGTCCGTCAGGAGGGGGGCTGGGGTTGTTTGTTTGTTCGCTCGGGGCAGGGGTAAGAATGAACGGGGTGTTTTCTTTGAGACTGCAGTGCTCCAGCCTTGTGCACCACACATGTTGGTGGTCTTACATCGGTCCCTGGTGTGATGTCATACTTTAAATTGAAGTGAAAGGGCTGCTTCCAAAGCTGAGACCAAACAGTTTGAGGTCATTACAAAAACTATGGTTTTTAAAACCAGTTTGTTTTACTTTTCAACACTTTGTCCATAAGTATTTATTTATGACCCATCACATCGAAATAATTAAGTTAAAAGTTGTATATGGAGAAATAGGCAGATATATAGGSTTTTGAAATTACATTTAGTCAAAAATATAACAAATAAATGTTTTTATCAATGTATCATTTCAATGAAATGATACATTGATAAAATTATGATACTGAAATATTATTCAAAAAACATTTTTTGAAGCACTTTTTTGAACATCAGCAACCAAAAACTAGATTTTGGGGAAAAACGCCTTAAAATGTTCAGATTTTCCTGTGAGCTATCAAATGTTTTTCTTTGCAGTTGGTAAATCTCATTATTCAAAAACTATATGAGGTTTCTTTTATCAAATGACATAAAAAATCCTCATTAAAATGACATAAAATTAGGATTTAGACCAAATATTTCTGTATTATTGTAACCAACAAGACAAATTCAATAATATCTCTGAATCTACTAATGGTATCAGGATGATCTAAATATCCAAACGTAGCTTTTAAAACCAGGAAAAAGAAAATATGATTTGATCATTTTGACCAAATTTGACTTGATCCTCATTTCGATATGATGGGTCACATTTATGTCTGTCTCATAATATAATAAGCTGAGCTTGAGGCAGTTTCTGTGTCCCTCCCTTTTCTTCGGGTCATGGTATGTCATGGCTGTAGCTGAGGGTTCAACACACAGTAGTTGTACAAAACTTTGAGGTTTGTGTTTCACCTCAGCTCCTTTATCTCAGACTGGAGCAATGATGTGTGAAAGTCCTGACCCATCTGTCCATTTCTGGCTCCYTGTTGGCGTCTCTTGTGATCATGATTCCAGGACACTTGAACTGTACTGCTGAGGTAAACACTCAGTCCCAACTTAAAGGAGCACTGCTTTATTTTGTAGAGGAGCTGAGTCTRAGCCTATAACCTGCCTCAGTGCAGTCTGAAGAGCCAGAACCAGCAGCTACAAAAATCACACATGGATCTTTAGTTTTACTCCTTTCTTTCATTATTTTTAGTTTTATTGAGCTGTTTTAATTAAACTAAGCATTTTAAAAACACAATCAGCACATGGGTTTTTACGATGTAAAAACAAGTGTGCATTGCCACGTAGCAT